CACAACCTATATCTCCAGAGTGTAACTTTATTAGCTCAATATTTCGCTATTACAACTTCTTCAGGAGTTATAGATATCCTAAAAATTCACTAATCCAGTTAAATCTAAATTGGAATACTGTCAATCGTAAATCGAACATTGCTACACGTGTTTAGAAAGTTCATATTGTATGTTTCATATTATTTTAATATAACATGAACTTTCTAAACACGTGTAGCAATGTTCGATTTACGATTGACAGTATTCCAATTTAGATTTAACTGGATTAGTGAATTTTTAGGATATCTATAACTCCTGACGAAGTTGTAATAGCGAAATATTGAGCTAATAAAGTTACGTTCTGGAGATATAAGTCGTGATTTTATTTTCGTTTATAGATATATCTCATAATAATCTCTAGTTTGCGTTAAACAAAGTTAAGAATAATAAGTCGTGAATAATCTTTACTTTATGCTCATTGATCTGATCTTGTGTCTAAGAAAGGCAGATTGAAAATTTGTTGCATAACAATTAGAGTCGTCAGTTAAAGTAGAGATCTGTTTAATGTAAAATTGTCACGAGGGAAAACAACCCTGTGACACGTAATTGTTGCTTCATAACAGTTTTATTTAAATTTAATATTGAGCAAACTATAATATATAAAACAAATGTACAATAAAAAATAAATATTCGATTAAACAGTTTCATTAATATTCCAACACACAATATAGCTGAAGTCACAACTGGTTTCACATAAAATAACGATGAAAATTGTTCATACCTCATGAAATTACAGTAAACAGGTATTCATCGAATAAAGTTATGAAGTCTCCAATTATAAACATTCATGCAGCGTTTGAAAAGCCACACTTATCTAGGAGCATTTTGTTTCAGTTTTAAGCATTCGGTTTACTTTTCAGAACACGTACAACACATGGCCTATTTTACTGGACAGCAAAAATAATCTAAACATCGATTTGAAAGTTTGATTGGTTAACATGTTGCGACCTGTCAAATAAATGCTAATATAAATATCCTATCAACAGACCTGTTGGTAAACCTGTGTAACGAACGAAATTAAGGATTGTTCTAGATGATATTTACCCAGTTAATCTGTTGGTAAACCTGTGTAACGAACGAAATTAAGGATTGTTCTAGATGATATTTACCCAGTTAATCTGTTGGTAAACGTGTGTAACGAACGAAATTAAGAATTGTTCTAGATGATATTTACTCAGTTAATCTGCTGGTAAACCTGTGTAACGAACGAAATTAAGGATTGTTCTAGATGATATTTACCCAGTTAATCTGTTGGTAAACCTGTGTAACGAACGAAATTAAGGATTGTTCTAGATGATATTTACTCAGTTAATCTGTTGGTAAATCTGTGTAACGAACGAAATTAAGGATTGTTCTAGATGATATTTACCCAGTTAATCTGTTGGTTTTGTTTGTTTGTTTGATTTATGCACAAAGTTACACAATGGGCTATCTGTGCTCTGCCCACCACGGGTATCGAAACCCGGTTTCTAGCATTGTAAGTCCGCAGACATACCGCTGTGCTACTGGGGGGCAAATCTGTTGGTAAACCTGTGTAACGAACGAAATTAAGGATTGTTCTAGATGATATTTACTTCCTTAATTTCGTTCGTTACACAGGTTTACCAACAGATTAACTGATCATCTAGAACAAATTTACTCCGTTAATCTGTTGGTAAACCTAGGTGTGTAACGAACGAATGAAATTAAGGATTGTTCTAGATGATATTTACTCAGTTAATCTGTTGGTAAACCTGTGTAACGAACGAAATTAAGGATTGTTCTAGATGATATTTACTCAGTTAATCTGTTTGTAAACCTGTGTAACGAACGAAATTAAGGATTGTTCTAGATGATATTTACTCAGTTAATCTGTTGGTAAACCTGTGTAACGAACGAAATTAAGGATTGTTCTAGATTATATTTACTCAGTTAATTTGTCACCTAGATATAGATTTTAATTCTTTTTTGTATCACAACCATAATATTTTCCCCAGTTTTACATCATTATATTTGTAAATTCAGAGATATCAGAAACAACCAGGCAAGGAAACGGGTGTAATTCCCACCTATCGGGAATATAGTGAATTATAGCGGTTTTGATCCTATAATCAGATCTTGTTATATGTTCCTATCATAAAGACTATCAAGATTTTTCTAAATTTTCAGACTAAACTGAATTACAATTTCACCAAGTGTTTCCTCTATGCATCGAATTTGATATTTCTTGCCTATAGATAAAAAGTATGGAAAGTTTCGTTCAGACCGTAGATTCGATCATGTTACGCCAGAATGAGAAGAAACGGCTGGCCTCCATTATCAACCGGATAGATAGCTATGACGTCATAGATAGCAACAACGAGGAACTGGATAAGGTACGACTGTTCTCATGAATTCTATAAGTATGCAATTCCCGGTATAATAAAATAATATCTTAAGCCTAACGCTGAATTACGGAAATCTTTGTTCCCTTAGTGTAATATTCTGAGTATCATTTTCATATCAGTAGTCACAATTCTTTCTGTACAATTTGCGTATTTTTCAGAATTAAACAAAAAAACATTTACAACTTTTATTAAATAAAATTAGATATTAGATAAAATTAGATATCTTAAGCCTAACGCTGAATTACGGATATCTTTGTTCCCTTAGTGTAACATTCTGAGTATCATTTTCATATCAGTAGTCATAATTCTTTCTGTACAATTTGCGTATTTTTTCAGAATTAAAAAAAAAAACATTTACAACTTTTATTAAATAAAATTAGATATTTTCTCAATTGTATAGGCCATGCGAGAACAGGGCAATCTTCACCTTGATCTTACATGTCCCATGCCGGGATGCGTCACGCAGCTAACAAGACAACTTGTAAAAGAGGGCGGTGCGATAAAATTGAGAGAGACTTCTTCAGGCAAGGTACAGTTATCATCTGTGATAATGGAATCAATATTCCAAGAGTAGATTTTACTGTTGGCAAACTGCTCTGCTAGACCAAATGAGTTCATTATTTCCCATTTAATCACTAGTTGTTCTCAAAGAATATTACCATGTTATTAAATGAACAATGTGTATTGCTGGGAAAACTACTATAAAGCTAGTAGTGAAAATGTGACAGCATTAATAATATATGTTGAATATAGTTTTTAATATAATTTTTCAATGTAACATAAATATAAGTGGCCTCTTTAGTTTGAATGTTCACGAACAAACGTTTTGCTAAGTATTGCTTAACTAATTTTGAACAATAGCTTTATTTACTCATTTACTATTAATGTCTACATGAAATGGGTTATCTACCGATTAATTAATTTTGGAGATCTTTGCAAACTTTAAATTGCGTTAGACTATAAATGAATTAAATTTACATTTACGAATTTAATCTTGTTTAGGTGGATGTACATTGTTTTCTCTTCACGGACATGTTTCTCATTTGCAAGCCACTAGGGAAGAGGGGAGACAAAGTCCGAGTCATACGACAACCATACCTCGTTGAAAGGTTGAAAGTCCAGGAACTGAAGGATGGGGGAGGTTTGACGGTTATCTACCTAAACGAGTTTCACGTTGCCACAGCAGCATTCATCTTGTACACTCATGAGCCCAAGATCTGGCTAGAGAGCATCAGGAGAGCACAAGTAAGACATAATTAGTTACCTGGAGGTAAAACTTACAGAAGGTTCAGTCAAATCAAGAGCCAAAATCAATCTAGCCATTGTAATCAGAGATCAGAACTAAAACCAGCATTTTTCGAATCATGGGTCAGAACTAAATAATTTCCTATAATTGGTCTGACTCAACAGCATTACATTATTACTTGAAAGTCAGTAAACCAACACAGGCATTTCATTAGCAACAGTAAAAAGTAAGGCAGTGCCAGACATTATAATCAAGGATAATAACCCAAACTAGCATATCCTTAATGAAGTGTTAAAAACAACACCAACTACTTCTAATCAAGGATTAAAACCAAAGTCAACATATCCTAATAAAGTGTTAGAAACAACACAAACTACTTCTAATCAAGGATAAAAACCAATACCAGCATATCCTAATGAAGTGACAGAAACAACACAAACTACTTCTAATCAAGGATAAAACCAAAGCCAGCATATCCTAATGAAGTTTTAGAAAGAACACAAACTACTTCTGATCAAGGATAATAACCCAAACTAGCGTATCCGCAATGAAGTGTTAAGAATAACACCAACTACTTCTAATCAATGATAAAAACCAAAGCCAGCATATCCTAATGAAGTGTTAGAAACAACACAAACTACTTCTAATCAAGGATGAAAACCAAAGCCAGCATATCCTAATGAAGTGTTAGAAACAACACCAGCTACTTCTAATCAAGGATAAAAACCAGAGCCAGCATATCCTAATGAAGTTTTAGAAACAACACAAACTAGTTCTAATCAAGGATAAAAAAACAAAGCTAGAATATCCTAATGAAGTTTTAGAAACAACACCAACTACTCTAATCAAGGATAAAATACCAAAGCCAGCATGGACTAATAAAGTGTTAGAAACAACACAAACTACTTCTAATGAAGTTTCAAACACAACCAACACAAATTCCTAGATAATTTCCTTCTAGTAGTTCTACCTTTTGTCGGAACCAGCAGAGTCACTTTATTGCCAAGAGTAACATTGAAATTAATTCCAGTAGATTTTCTGGTGGGTCGGCAATAATTCTACGGACTTAAATCATTAAAATCCGAGGTTTGATTCCCCGCAGTGAACAGAGTGCAGATGGTCCATTGTGTAGCGTTGTGCTAAAATACAAAGGAACATTTCAGTAGCAACAATTCATAATATATATTAATGGTCATAATATTGTATTCAATACAGAAAATATGGAATTTATAATTGCAATTTATAATTTCAAGAGAAAACAGTGATTATGAGCACCAAAACTATAGGAAAGGATCAAACAAAGTTGTTCTTTGAACTTTTCCGAATCTACATTTTCCATAAATAGTCACTGTTACAGGATACATTAAAAATGTTTATACATAATAGTGAAAGCAGGGAAACATGTATAATTAAAAAGTAACAGTAAAACTGTACATGAGTGTAGGCTGCCTAATGAAAAGTTCGAAAATGAAACAATGATATATATATTTGATCGATTGGTGACAGGAAATGATTTTTATGTTAGTGACACATTTAGTAATATCATTTGCTCTTCAATGTAAACTAGTTTCAACGTGAACAGACAGATACTGACTTCTTTACTTTTATATATATTTCATACGAGTTCCAAGTTTGGCTTATCTTTCTAAGTGTAAACTGTACGAAAATCATTGAAAGGCCCTCCACGACTCATCAAATTTCATTAACTAATAACTCGAACAAAATAAATTCCTTCACTTGATGTTTAAACTGTTAAATATTGTTTAGATTATTCTTTAACATGGTCATCTTTTACTAATTTTGCTTCGCTTCAATTTTTAAGTCATCAAAGTAGAGAAATAATTCATCATGTAAGCTGAAGGTATCCTACTGGAAAGTTATAAGGAATAATTCTATATTTAAGTATCCTGAATAATTTTACTTCTAACTTCACACTTGTCCACTTGTCAAGCTGTTTCATATGTTTTTCAGATGTTGGACTTAAATGTTTTATGCAATAGCCTAACTGACTCATTGCATTCAAATTCACCAAAGGGATAGAGATATATATATCTCCCAACTATCGGATAATTTAAGTTATCATAATCTATGCTTTTTTGTTCGGGCAAAGTCCTTCGATTTTATAATTTTTTGTTTGTTTCACAGGTAAATAAACCATTTTACCATAAACAAAATACTTAAGTTGCTTATTAGGCTTATGCCTTTAAGTATTGTTCATGCTGTATATATTAGTTTCTTTTTTGCTTATGAATAAACAAATATCTTTACACTTCTATATCTGATTTTTGATCCAGTATTTGGTAAGTTAAGGTTTTTTTTATTCACAACAACTTGAATAACTTTATTTAATGTGTTGATAAAGTGTATTCTTTAACAACAGGAGCTATATCAAGAGGCGAAGAAGACCTCTGAACTCGGTTTCGATCTAATGGATTACACAGAGGAAGACGAGCTTCTTTCTAGTGGTCACCTGGCAACTTCCAGTTCTAGTCACTCTAGTTTAATTCATTCCCACACTGAATCTGTAGATACGTCTAGTGATCCAGTTTCTACAAATTCAATTGGAAGACTCTCTATATCACCAGTAAGTTCTAGGGTAGGTCTACAGATTTCTTTAGAGGATGGACATCTAAAACTTTCTCTGGAGGGCTCTCTATATCACCAGTAAGTTCTAGAGTAGGTCTACAGTTTTCTTTAGAGGATGGACATCTGAAACTTTTTCTGAAGGGCTCTCTATATCACCAGTAAGTTCTAGGGTAGGTCTACAGATTTCTTTATAGGATGGACATCTGAAACTTTTTCTGAAGGACTCTCTATATCACCAGTAAGTTCTAGGGTAGGTCTACAGTTTTCTTTAGAGGATGGACATCTGAAAACTTTCTCTGGAGGGCTCTCTATATCACCAGTAAGTTTTAGGGTAGGTCTACAGATTTCTTTATAGGATGGACATCTGAAACTTTTCTGGAGGGCTCTCTATATCACCAGTAAGTTTTAGGGTAGGTCTACAGTTTTCTTTAGAGGATGGACATCTGAAACTTTTTCTGGAGGGCTCTCTATATCACCAGTAATTAAGACTAGCATTATACTACCATAATATTTTTCATCAAATCCTATCATTAAGAAGTTTTTTATGTGTCAGTTCTGTGTGTTCCAATAAGCACTGTTTATTGGTAGTTTTTTTTAACTGTAGTTATCCTTCTATATAAAAATATGCATTAAACAGATAGGAACTATACAATCTTTTTTTTTCTAGATACATCTTTGTGAAATCTATATATATAAAATTAAATAAGTTTTAGGTACATTATTTTATCTCGAAAGATGTAGCAACCTTTATCTACTTGATTCTGCTTTACGTGCGTTTTAAACCGCTGTCACATGTATTCATCGGGTTTATAGTTTGTACTATCACAAAAACTTATTCAAAACAACATTGAAAAGGTGTAAAGCCATAGAAAATGATAAATGAAGATGAGCATCTGAACTCTGCAGATTTCTAGATGCGTTTAAGTCTAGGTTCTTTCAGTAATTTCAATTTTCCAGTCTGGTAAAGTGTTAATGTTAAAGAATGGATTTTAGCCGTTCTGGCAACGTTCAGATATAGTTCTCATCATACTGGATTGTAGGTGTGTGCCTGTTTCGCCAATGTGTGTATCTACACAAGAATAGTTAGTTTATATATAAAAAGGTTAAGGTTTGCCGCTTTTATGTTTGAACTTGCATATGATACCGCTGGATCTTTAACTGATGTGGAGAAGATACAACATTTGAAATATTTATGGAATTGGTGAGGAAAAGGGATATAAAAGACGAATACTGTAAGAATGCCACCCTTTATCGTGCATAGTACAGCATAGTACAGTTATATGTAAAAAGATCAGACTACGACTGGTTGTCATTTAACCAATCAGAAAGTGCCACACCAACATAAAGCCTAAAACAATATGGGAAATCATACAGTTTAGAAATGTGATCCAATAATGGCTCAAAAAACTAAAATACCGCATAACATTTGTCTTTTACGAGATAGACTACGGTCGATTACAGATCTGGCCAATGCCCTTGCTGTAAATACAGATATAAACGTTACCTCAAGAACAACAAGATACATATTATCATTAAGTATCACCATTGTAGATGTAGCTGCTCCAAAACCTTTACTAAGAAGAGGTAACAAACTGAAATGTATGAATGGGTTTTGGACCACAAAAAATGGAATTAGCAAAGATGTAGACATTCGGCCACAATCAACAATAACACAGGCCTGCGATGGTTTTATTGTTACATGTTCTACAGTAATTCCTGTACGCTGAATCCGTAAATGATATCCATTATTCTCAATCACGTACAGATTGTTCATAAAACGTCATATGTACTTTTACATAAATGAATCATTTTCATTCATATCGGGTCATATTTTGTTAGGCATAAAATGTTGGCAACCACTGGCTATAGATTTTTCTAGACCAATCGCGACGTGAGAGTCCTATCGATCGTTCTAGAACCCAAACATAATAATAAAATATTCCTTGTGGTAAACGAAATAATAATTTGATCTTAATTGTAGTTTTTTCTTCCCAATTTGCAAAAAATCTTTACGTGATAGAAAAAAAATGAATATTATTTTCGAAATCTGCGTGGCTGAATTATGGAAAATCCATTATTAAACCAAAACAACTTTTATGGAGTTAAATACACAGACCTGTGTAATTTATTCAACAGCGGAGATGAGACAATTATCACAGTCAATGTACAGCATCTACAGTGAAGCATGATGACTACAAGTTTGGAGTATCATCTCAGCTTGATGTGTTAGTAATCTGTAACTAAATTATGGCACCCGACTGCAGACAGGTAAATATAGTTTTTCTCAGGAACACTATTTATAGGGCAAGGCTTAACCTTCGAGCATGATAATGATCCAAACAACGTGATTAAACAATATCTTGATCTTAAAAAGACTAGGCCACTGTAACACTCACAGCTATAGTTTGGCCTGCACAGAATCCCAAATGAATACTATATATTGAGGCTGTTGGGCCTATATAAAAGTTGAGAAGGTCAAGAGGCGAACATTCAACTTGGCTAAGTTGAGAGGAATAATATAGGAAATTTGAAACAATATTCCACAATCGTACACTAATGAACTTTGTGGCAGCAGGAAAACAATGTGTTATGTTCCATTTAAAGTTAAGTGCTTGCCTACCAATCACCCTAATACATGGTATACTTAGCAGCTGGAAAACAATGTTTATGTTCGATTTAAAGTTACGTACTGGCCTACCAATAACACTATTAGATAGTATAACTTTGCTTTTTTGTATCTTATGTGATGGTGTTTTATACCATTAATAAGTCCACTATCTATTTGCTATTACTCGTTGCTTGTGGCTTCTGTTTTTGCAACTTTGCATAATCATTTGAATTTATATATGTAATTTTTTTTTCATTTTGAGCGTAGGATCAATGGTTAATATTTTTAAAACAAAGTACCAAATATTTCTATGTTTGCCGAGTCTCCCAAGCTTTTACAAACCTAGTCGACATACAATGTTGAAGAATAAGTAAGTAGAAAAATGCGAAGGTGATAAGATAAAGAAATTAGACTTTTGTAGATAAATAACCTTAAAAAACTATGGTTGTATTCTACTATCTTGGCGATATTTCGAGAAAACGCTCTTTTTCAAGCCAGAAACAAGCCTGTCGGTTAATGACAACTACAGGGACGTTTTGAAAGGAAAGAGTACACGAGAACAAAATTTAGCGCGTGATACAACAATGTAGAAGTTACTAAAGCTGGTAAACTCATCATTTATCATTATCTCGTGTTCACTCTCACAGTTCCCCAAAAGATTAGAAATAACTGGGAAAAAGTGGCCTTTAGAACATTCATAACATATTGTACTATAGTTACTTTTTGTTGACATCATCCATCTAGTGTGATAGAAGTCTTCACTGAGAAAAAAGTGGCCTTTAGAACATTCATAACATATTGTACGATAGTTACTTTCTGTTAAAATCATCCACCTAGTGTGATAGAAGTCTTGACTGAGAAAATGTGGCCTTTAGAACATTCATAACATATTGTACGATAGTTACTTTCTGTTGACATCATCCATCTTGTGTAATAGAAGTCTTGACAAGTTACTCTGCTGTCGTAAGACTAGTTAGTTATCCGTTGTGACTATGTGGAACAACTTTTGGAAAGGTTATTTCTCTATCATTCGAATTTATTACATAATGATACCCCCCCCCCCCGTTACTGTTCGAGAATTATATCATAAAGCTAATTTTTTCTTTCTTTAATTTTATTCAAAAGTGGTGGTATCTTGAGTAGCTAGGGATCGCCAAATTAAAGAAAAACAACAGTTAATCATATTGTAAGGTTTACAGATAGTCTAACGAACGCGGAGGGTCCTAGGTTTAAAATACAGCAACGTTTACTTGTGTAATTGTCGTTTAGACCACTTTCACACACGCGCGCATACATTTAAAATGTTTTCCATTATTTTTATAAGTCAGTTATGAGAATTTGTAATATGATATTTCATTTATTACTAAATTACCTCCCAGTGGCACAGCGGTATGTCTGCGGACTTACAACGCTAGAAATCGGGTTTCGATGCCAGTGGGGGAAGAGCACAGATAGCCCATTGTGTAGTTTTGTGCTTAATTAGAAACAAACAAACAATTACTAAATTAGTACAATTATTAGCCGAGTAATCTTCAGTCGATTAATCAATTCAGCATTTCCTTTTGTTGTTCATCACTGATGAAAAGCTTCCAGCTCCTCATCTTCACTAATTTTCGTAATAGTTTGTAATAGTTGACAAAAATTTATTAACTGACATTCATTTAGCTTCTTTCAAAGATCTTCTAATTTCTATCTTATCAGTTCCTGTGATTACCTTTAATTAGATAACATCGGTTAGGGCCTAAAAGTATAAATCTAACCATAGTCTCTTTTGTATTACATTTATTATTTTGAGAGCTCTAATCTTCGAATTTAGATTTCTTTGAAACTTTTATCATTCAAAGCATTTCCATCATCAGCATTGTCGTACAAAAATTGTTTTCACTGTCAACATTTTTTCACTTTCCATAGCCATCTTTAGAGGATTTTTCTTCTTTGGTTTTTGGTTTGAATTTCGCGCAAAGCTACACGAGGGTTATCTGAGCTAGCCGTCCCTAACTTAGCAGTGAAAGGCTAGAGGGAAGGCAGTTAGTCATCCCCATCCACCGCCAACTCTTAGGCTACTCTTTTACCAACGAATAGTGAGATTGACCGTCACGTTATAACGCCTTCCACGGCTGAAAGATGAGCATGTTTGGTGGGACGGGGATTCGAATCCAAGACCCGCAGATTGCGACTAGAGCGCCCTAACCACCTGGCCATGCCGGACCTAACAAGAATATATCATTCCACCAGTATCAATATTGTATGTTATGACAATCTATCATCTATCGTACACCAAGTAAACAACATTTCGTACATTGTCAGTTTCAGTTACCTATAATAATAGTAATAGACTTCATTTTCTGGAAAAACTAATATAAATTTCAAATATATATAATTTGTTTGTATAGAAAAAATGTTACTTTTTTCTAACTTTATTTCTGTTGCGTGTTTTCTGGGTAAAGACAATTGTTTGTATTGTTCTGTGAGATTATTTGTATCACAAAGACTTATAATTTCTACTTTTTGTTTTCAGAGTGTGAAGATTTATATGAGTTAAAGGATATAAATGTTACTTTGTTTTCGGTTATTAAGATAATCATGAAAAACACTTTAATTAAATATTGATATACATTGCGAATACCTACATTTCGTGATATTGTGCTTTAAAATCACATCTATAAGAGTTTTGTATGGAGCTATTTAACAATTACATACACACGTACTTGAACGTTTTTATATCAAATATTCATTTAAAATAATACTGAAGTCGTAAAAAAATTTGAAAGTTAACGCCAATTTTAGGTGTAAATAATTAATTTTCGTGATATTGCAGATGTGGTTATTTAAACAGCGAAGTAAACATCTGTTGTTAAAAGGCTGTTTTCAAGATTATTAAGTCCTTGTATAAACGTGATGGATTTTTGTAGACACGTGCTTAAGGTATTGTGAAAATTATCATTACAAAAGAGAAATTTGGTGTTTGTTTTAAAACTATAACTATACAAAAATAACGAGTCTATGATGTGAGTAAAATTATCAGTTTATACATAATAAGTGAAAGAACTAAATATAAATCAGTTAACTTTTACTTCTGTAAAATATAAAAGTCATCATCACAAGTCGTGTGATCCCATACTGTGCACAGTTCTACAACCCAACTAACTTAATCCAATCTAATTATACCGTGAGATCAATAAACACAAAAGTCACCTCGAAATAATAAGAAAATACAGAACATAAAGTTTACTTATCTAGCAGAAACTAAAAAAAGATACAGTTTTAAAAAATTATGTACATTCAAATGTTGATCATTTTTTACAACACTGTCGCCACCAACACATTGTTTTTGTGCTATAAATACGTTCTAAGTGTTTTTCAATCTTGCGAAGAAGACTGGTATTTTCATTTTGAAATTTTGTTTTATTAACAGATACAGCTGGTTTAAGCGCAGAGAAATTCAGATGAGTTAGTAGGTTTTAGCTACGTGTGAGTTCTAAGCTACATTTTAAGAAACAATAAATTATTACTTAATTCTTCAAATTGAACTATTGACTAAAGCTATCAATATCGTAATTTTTAAGTTATTTTTCCATCTATTAATTTAGTACCATGTGGTTTTCTTCACCAGACTAGTCAAAACCACAGCAAAGCTGTGAGTTTCGAACTTGGAAGCCTACGCAACCCTAGCTTAGCTAAAGATAGTGAACACGAAAAGCCACGTGCTCATAGCTTCGAGACGCGCACTGGACCTGTCAGTGTAACAGTAACATCACCTCCTACCGATTACAAAGCAGAAACTAGCCTTACACTCAAAACCTGGTCTAAAGGAACCGAAAACCTCTTTAGGAACAGATATGGCTCGGAGATCTCTCGCACACCACGTTCTATTCAAGTAAGTCACTTGATAATAATCTAAAATGACTACTATAACTTCTCAGTATTGAAAATAGTTTTCAGTTAGGAACTTAGAATTTGTTTGTAGTTGTTGTTGTTTCTTTTTAGGGACCCGCGACTCCTGCTATGTCTGATATTATCCAATTTGACAACTACCAAACTTTTACTTGCGAAATGATGTATGCCCAGTATGTACTTTGTAAATAAAGTGTGAACGATCAAGGCCTCAAGAATAGTTCATTGAGTGTTTCCAGATCATGCTGAATTATGGTGGCTGTCAATAAAAAATTAATTTAGCACTATACGATACTGTTATTATAAATAAGTTGGCAAACAGCAATTTATATGAATAATTATATAAGAATAATAAGTGATTTATTTAGGGGGACATGTAGAAACATGTAGTACGTTCCCCAAAATAAATCATTTCATTACACTTATAAATCCGTTGTTTGCCAACGTATTATTATATTAGCGGAGTGCTTCCTTACTTAGTATTAATAT